ATATTATTATACTCTACCCGTAAGCATTATTATCTTTTTTTCCGTCTTCACTCTTACACATCACGGTTTTTTTAATTGTTATTTTATTCCTATCTACATCGTTTGAAAATTCAGTAGTGATAGGCGCACTATATATATATTGTAGACTTGAAAATTATTATTAGCATATAATATACGACTGCGACCAAATGGGGCGTATCGCAAATTTTCACATTGCCGTCGTCTTTTCGTTTGAAATGAATTATACGGTAATTAATATTATTTCCACCAGCTATACATCACGGAGAAATTATTATATTGAGGAAACGGAGCCAACCGACGCGCAACCGTGGAGCCAGCTGCTGCCGTCTTCCGCGCTATTATAAACTCTCCCCCGACCACTGCCCCTGCAGATATTATACACTTACGGGGTAGTATTTGACTACATATTGTATAAACTTATTATATATATATATATATATATATATATATTGCCGGAACGTATGCGCAATTGTTAAACAACGGGAGTTTTTTTTTGCCATTCTTGAGCCATTTATTTTTATTAACCGTCGTGTATCTTTCGTCGATTGATTTTGTTTTGTGTATACAGATTTCGTGTGTTAAAATCGTTTCGTGCTTTAGTTCTAGTTTAGTTAAATTTCAAATATTCCGGTAAGGTTGGTTAAACATTTATACGTTTTCAATTTTTACAATTTTGTTTATCAGTTCCTGTGTTGTCTTACGAGTATGTCGAATTATCTCAGAGGAAACAGACCATTTTACTATATTATGTCTGTTATCTAAACATAGATACTTTTAAATCAGCTACGTCTTCCGGATCAAACGAGCTCAAACTCGGGAATCAGAGTTTTTTTTATGGACAGATTAAAGTAATAAAAGTTGAGTTAAATTTCACCATACATTGTTCAGAGAGAAAAGTGTTTATTTAACTATGAACACCCCTACATATCCCTTAAATTAAATCAGGGGAATGAAATTTTATATACTCATAGCCGAGAATTTGCTTTTTGGAAGGCTTCAAATTTAAACCCCCAACCCTTTATTTGTAATGGTCAAATCTCACCATTTTTTTAGAAGTGTAGTATAATACAGTTTAATATAGTATTTCATTGTATTATTAAAGAATTCAGCCTATTTTTTGTTTTACAAATAATATATCTACTATAAAATCAAACGGATATACTTCACATGATGAATGGGCTTGCCAGTGTCGCAATTACCGAGGGGGGAGGGAGGACAAAGCGGCGCCCTGCTAGAAGGGCACTATGAGATTAATTTGCGGCAAAATTTCAAGCTTGAATACCTTCTGTCTTAGTCTATATTCAAGAATATTAACAATTATGAAAATTAAAAAATATAAAATGTTTATCTATTTGTCAACAATTACTTATCTATTTTATAATAATATCGATACGTTTTTCTTTTATCAGTTTTATAGTCAATTTTTGATTTCTCCGAAAATCGATATGTCCCCTTACATTGATATTAGTGATTTTTTTATAATGTTTTATAACCATGGTTAAAGTATTCAACATTGTTGAGGTCAATAGATAAAGTGATGATGGCCCGAGCATAAAGTCATCCTACTCGAAATTTGATTGTATTTCCGTTTACGACTTTTGATTTCGAGTAACTAAATTCTGAGTCTGACTATTCTTATTAATTATTACGTGATAGATTAGCTAAATTATTTTCATCAGTACAAAATCTCAGAAAAGACTACATTAATATAGTGAAATAAGCAAAAGAATTATGTACAAAATGGAACATACCATTTAATAGTTTGCAAACTAGACAACGACTTGCAAAAAAATGGTTTGATGAAGTGAATGATAACCGCAAGTTAAGTATCACAGAAAATAATATTAAAATAAAAATATTTTTCCCTTGGTTCCCCTATTACAACATTTTACACGACTTTAACAATTCTGAACGGAATTCATGGTTTGAATGACAGTAATATTTTTGATTTGAAAATAATACATTCCGTAATTTTTTCTGTTTTTCCTAGGTTTTCCCATATACTATGAAAACCCCTAGGAAATCAAAAAATGACATCCTTAAAGTACCACTTCACGAAATTTTCTTTTCAGAAAAGATGCTACACTTCTAAAAAGCAAAATATTTAATAAAAAAATTGTCTATAAAAAAAAAGTTTAAATAATAAACATTATTGTAAAACCTCGCTACACCCAGAATCTAAAATAAATTCTGGGAAATTCGACTTTATAGTGAATCAATTTTGCTGCTCACGAGTTGATTTTTAGTTAAATTATGTACGAAATCAATTTTGACTGAAAATAATTAACTAAACAATATTTAAGTATATTTAAGAACTTTTAGTCCTAAACTGTTTGTTTATACTGCACGACCCATTTATGCGTGCACTAAATAAACAGGTAAATTCTTATCGAAATAAAGCGTCATGCAATTCGATTCGGAATGACAATCAGCGGACCCACCGTGTTTAAAATCAAAAGCTCTGATAGATATTAAAAACTGGGCGACGACACGTCGGATTTCGGCCATACGCCCATACACTTCGGTTTTAACACGAAATTTATGTACGTCGCAGTCAAGGGAGTCTTTTTATTACGTATTATATTGAGTCACGTGATTTGAAAACGCCAGTGACGATTGTTGAATTTTATACATCAGGTCTAAAGCGTAGGAGGGAGGGGGTTAGGGGCTGCAGTATCGCTCGACGAATTTTCCGCTTATTTTATTATTCGGCCTGGGTCGTTTCGAATAGACTCGTATTATGTGAACGTTGTGAATCTGTACATATAATATTATATGACGGAGAAAGAGTGATATAATAATTATTGTGTAATATTATACTAATATATTATGTCGTTTTAAACGATCGTTTATTTGTTTTCATTTTTATAAATCATTAGAGCAGCGGTTCCCAAACTGTGCACCGCGGTGACCTGACGGCACCGTGAACACTTTTTGAGGGCACCGTGACTCATTAAAAATTATTTATAATTTAGGTATAGTAAAATTTTTTTAAATTTTTGTCAATTTCAAATTGAATTTTATGAAAAAAATAAATTAAGTCGGCCGTATTATTAGAATGCTTACATTATATTATGTTCAGTAAAATAATAAAAACTAATAACCAATGAAAATAAGTATTGAATTTGTATATAGGTATATTCCTTACGGCACGGCAAGGCACCGTGGCTGAAGTTAGTTCGAAGAAGGTCACTGTCGAAATAAAAGTTTGGGAACCGCTGCATTAGATAGTTATCATAGCAAAAAAAAAATTATTTTTAGAATACAGTAGAGTCATTCAGTTTATTTACGAATATTAGGTATAATGAAAGCAACGATCAATAATTACATTGCAATGAATAAATTCTGAACGGACTTCGTTAAACTAATGGTTATAATAATATTTTTAAGATGTTTTTTTCCCCTAACAATCCAAAAATCAAGAATCTAGACATTTTTTATAAAAAAAAAATGAATTTTTAAGGTATTGCTTAAAAAAATCGAAACAATTTTACAAACCAAAAAAATATACATATCTTAGTAAAATCATCGATTCAAAATTAATGGATTCTACATTCATGATCAAATATAAAAAGATTGCCTAGTGTTAAACCTATTGTCAGTTAAACTATAGAGTTTAACTGACAAATTGGATTTTCTTTTTTATAAAAAATTAATCTATTGTATTTGATTGTGTGTTTATTATTGTGTTATTTGATCACTAACATTTTTGTATAATTTGTTTTTTTCCTGTCGGAAACACATCGTGTAATAATATCCTTATTGCTTCTCAATATAACTTAAAAGTTAAAAATATATATCTATTAGTTATAATAGGAAATGAGAGCTGATTGCACCTATAAAGATACAAGCTTGTACAAAAATACTAATTTTAATTGAATTCATATTCGTGTAAAAAAGTATATTCCGACACAAACTCAATTTAGAATCTTTCCGTTTAGTAATGTAGGTATCAAGATTGATCAAGCCACCGGGGTTTTTATTAGTTTTTCCGATCGGCGAACGGGAAGGACACGCGATCTATACAGTTTATAAACGTCTTCGTATATTTTCCCCAAGGTAGTATGTAGTAGATACTATACCCGTAGGTAGTGAAAATGTCATTAAGTCTAATGCCAGGTAGTCGGAAAACACTCTGTTTTAACACCCGGTCGTACGTAAATAAAATAACACTCGATAAAATTAACTGTTGACCATTATTATTTTATTCGCTTAAAATTATTTTAAAACGCGAAAGTACCAAAGTACCGAAGTAGCCTTCTAGTACCAAGACGCGCGTATTCCCCCTCGACAACAAATTCGCGTATCATAATTAAAAACATCCCGTTAAATTCCTTTTACTACAACAGCATGATGAGCGGTACCTAAGTACATTTAGTTGTTGAAGTATTTGATTAATATTTTTTTTATTCCTTTTCGTACGCGGTAAAGCATTTATAGGACGTGATGTGTGTGCACAATATTGCAAATATTTGGTTCCTAAGAAGGGTTTAAGTCAATTTCGTGTAGTTTTAAATGCCTACAAGCAAATTAAATTTCTAAAATTGTTAAATAACATAATGTCATTATTGCTAAATGGCATAAATCATATGACTTATATGACCAATATAATGTACGTCATAGTGACTTAAGGTATATTAATTTTCAGTGTATTTAGACCAAAAAATTACGCTAGAAAAAATTATGAAAATATGCCAAAATTTTGACTTGAGCTCTAAGTTCCCTGAAATCAATTAAATATTTATAATAGTACCAATTTCTTTTTCCTCAAATCAAGTATTTTCACGTACCACTAAAGCGGTACACTAGTACTACCGGTTGAGAACTGCTGATCTATTATTGTGTATTATTTTTCAGACAAAAAAGAAATCACGCAGCCGGCGGCGGTGGTGGCGACGCGTTGATCACGACGACGGTGACCATCACGACGACGGCAACGGCGGTGGCGGCGGCGGCGACAACAGCGGCCACCATGACGACGATGGAAGACGGCCGCGGTATGGACAGCAACGGATTCTCAGCACACTGCTGCTAGTGGCGGCCAGCGTTTATAGTGTTGACGACGACGACGATGGAGACGCGAATAATGGCTACGTAATGTTCTCGTTCGTGGCTCAGGTGCAGCTGTTGACGGGCAAACACCATGTGTTTGCAACAGCGGTGGCGTTCGGCAACGCTACCGTTATGGTGGCAACGGCGGGGACGACCATGATCATCGATAATGACACCGAGCCCAGGTTCACGTTCACCCAGAGCTTGTTCATTGGGTTCATGTCGTGCGTGCTCGCTTTTGTCACCGTTACGGGCAACATTATGGTCATGGTGTCGTTCAAAATCGACAAGCAGCTGCAGAATATCAGCAACTACTTCCTTTTCAGTCTGGCGCTGGCTGATTTTTTGATCGGGCTCATATCCATGCCGCTGTTCACCGTGTACACCATACTCGGCTACTGGCCTTTCGGCAAGCACGTGTGCGACGGATGGCTTGCGCTCGATTATCTAGCCAGCAATGCGTCCGTGCTCAACCTGTTGTTGATCAGCTTCGACCGGTACCTTTCCGTCACCCGTCCGCTAACTTACCGGGCCAAGCGGACCAAGAACAAAGCGCTACTGTTCATATGTAAATATATACTCACTCTACTTACCGTATATGCCTAGGTACCTATAATAATAGCAACACATAAATTGTGTATAGATTCTTAATAATGTGATTTGTAATCCTCTTTGGAATTCGTCTCTCTGGGCTTATGATTTTTTTAGCTTAATAACTCTAATAGCTGAACCTATCATACCATTAATATCTAACCGACGCACTGCAGGTACGTATTTCAAATCGCATTAGTTGGTAGGTAGTAAAAAGTTTCGTCAAGACTTTCTAGGATCTAGGTCCCTCTGTATATCAAAAATTATGTATGTCCGTATATTACAGCTTTATACTAACATCCATGAGCTCGTATATAGGTACACGGCGGAGGTTTCACGTAAAGTGCCAAGGGACAAAAAGAAGAAATCTGCTGTATTTAGATAAATTGGACGTAGCTTTATACCGTAATGTACCTAGAGAGTATAAATTATTATATTATTACTCACACATTATACAGGTACGAATCCGGCAGTGCGTATAAACTCATTATTTTTGACGTTTCCGACGCGCGAAATCTTGTGATATTTCGAAAATCTACTACGTGATTCAATAAAAGAGATAGGTTTTAATGGTTTGAGTGCATTTTAGTATTGTTGGTATGTTACAGTATATTAAATTACCTTGGATAATTTGTCTTCTTTCTGCGTGTTATAAACTTTCAAACAACAGACAACGTTTTTTTCTCCGGCGCAAAATAAGCCAATTAAATTAATAAAATACATAGGTCCCTAATGGAAAAAAAAAAATTTAAAATTATTTGATTTGTACGTGTAATCTTGTTATTGCATTATTGAATACTGGATAACATTTATTTTTCTTCTTTTTCAAACTAACCCATTACTTCGTATTGTATAATTACTAGTGATTTATTATTATGAATAGATCATTTATATAGGACAACTGCAACTACTATAAAAGTGTAATCATAAAGGCTACGTAAATTCAAGAGATCCGTTAAAAAAAATGACTTTATTTCAAATATGTACAACATACTATATCTGTTTCGGAACAAAATATTATAATATATAGTATGTTTTTACGAGCATTATTTAAATTATGGTAATTTGCGGTAGGTACAAAATTATTATAAAATTGATCGCACTGTATTGTGTTTCTGTTATTTAGGAATGTTTATTATATTTATAGGCAACTTCTAGTGGCTCCGTCTGGATCGAATGAGCTTAATCTGGGGAAGTAAAATTGTTTAGATTTAAGTGATAAAAGTTGGGTTGGGTTTTATTAGAAATATTTAATCGTGTTGATATGAGTGTAAAGTGTTTTTTTTTTTTAAACTTTCTGCATCTGTAAAGATTCCCCAAATGAAGCCAAGTGGGTGAAATTCAGTAACCATTTTTTTTTCTTGAAGTACCTAGTATAATATTGTTTGGTGTAATTTAGTAGGTATCTAATGTATTATTTAAATATCCGGTTATTTATTGTTTTGCAAAGAATATTGTATTATACAAAATTAACGGAGGAAAATTCTGTTGATGGAACTCTGCTGCTCACAGATGTTTTTTTTTTTTTAAATATGTATATTAAATTGTCGTTTTTATACTCAGTGGTTAAAGCGGGGAATAGTGGAACTACATTTACCGAAAATTAAGAGGCGTTTCCGAGAACTAACTAAACCTACCCAAACTTTCGGAAATACATCATGGAGACAAGACTTCCAAAATGTTTTTCTGTCGTACACATTTGTTTATATAAATATTTTACTAATAGGGTTTAAAAATTTACCGCAACTCACCTGGTTTCAATATAACTAATTTGAGTTAAAAATGTCCCAGTTAAAATAACTAAAGCGTGCCCCAGGACTTCGAAAGCTTAAACTAAAGGGGACTGATAATTTTACCTTAAATAAGAAAGACGGTTCCGTTCCCCCACTTAAACTGTTGTATAATATTATATTATATTATAGTACAATTTATTATAACGATTATCTGGACGTCAAAAACAAATTTTAAAAAAAATACCCCCAATGCGAATAATTAATTGTTGTACTCTCGTTTCGCCGCGTATTTATATTATTATATGGTGTTGTTGAAATATTGCAGAACTTTCGTATTTCTGTATTGTTTCTTGCATTCGAGTTGGAAATTATATTCAAGTGTATATCCGCGGTAGATTATTGTTGTCTTAAATAGTCAAATATTTACGGACCGTGATGAAAATGTCGTTATTAAATTGATTAATGAACGGATTAATTGACAGGCGACCGTAAACACACAATACGAATAAACCATGTAAGCGTTATTAATGCACAATATTACCCGTTATATTATATTATACTGTTGTAGTAAACTATATAAGTAAAAACAAATTGTAAAATGGATAGTATAATTTTTCGGCTATGAAATCCGCGGGACAGTTTGTCCAGGACAACAGTGATTGACACTGCCGCAGAGTTAAAGAAAATAGGATAATTTTAAATAGTTAATTTCGATTTTTTTTTTTTCACGCTAAAATTCGATTACCCGTATATGTGTACACCATATTAGATTCTAAGCGAAGCGAGGAATTTATTTGTTTTACTATGATGTGTGTGTGTTTTTTTTTATGTGTCTCTGTAAATTAATCTTTCTACCAGAAATTTTGTAACTTTTTACACGTATATGGTGCATTGAAGAGATCATTTTTCGATTTTCCGGGCAGTTTTCTTAATAAATGGGAAAAACCGGCAATTTGTTTTTTAGTTTTTTTGTTAATTCTGGATTGCTTTGACAGCAAGGAACAAATACGATTAATAATATTCTGCTCAATATCGTTTTTTCAGCAATATTAATTTATCGTTGCGTACAGATATAAATTAAATTACTCTGTACATACTCCCTTCCAACCTAAAACAGTGGCACACCCATCAAAAATATATGAGCCTTAAATAATATGAGTTTCTTATTATTGTACCTACTTATAGACATTTACTCATATACTTACACTGTGTTTATTAAAACAATTTTTAATAGTTTATTTAATTGTACCTAGATACGGTCATACATCGCACGATGGGTGGGCAACTGTTGTAAGTGAGAATTTGGGAAGGTAGAGGGAAAACTCAATTATGTATATCTGTACGCAACGAATAATCATTGCTAACGAAAGACCATTCTGAGTGGAGTTCAGTTAATATTGTTGCTTTACCAACAATATGATATAATATATATTATAACCAAATGATTACGTATACATTACATATTTTCTTTAATAATATTTGTTTAATATTGTACTTATTTTCACAATTTTCCTACGTTTTTCGCCATCTATTATGAAAAATCCTGGGAAAATCAAAAAATGACCTCTCTAAAGTACCACCCCAATCAGATTTCCTGTCAGAAAAAGTACTACACTTGAAAATTGGAGTAAAATTCCTGGTAAAAAAGTTGTTCACATTAAAAATAATAATAATAAATAAACATCATTGTAAAACCATTACATTCCTCGCACCACTCAGAATCTAAAATATTTGCCGGTTTCCAAACACAGACAGTTATTTCGCCTTTTTTAATTATTCGATATAGAGTGTGACGTTTATTAGTACAAAACAAGTTTAAAGCGTAAAATGAAAAATATTTCAAAACATTAAGTATTAAATACTTCATTGTTATCAACAAAAAGTTTTATTGCGATCATGTTGCGCGTCATCTTTAGGCTAAAAAAATATACCTATATTATTTTATTTTATTTTTTGCATTATTGTAAAACATAATTAACGAAATAATTATTTTTCAACCATCTACCTATACATGTATAGTATACACGAGCATACTTGATATTCTCTTTAATATTCTCTCCAATGAAAAAGACATTATCCTTTTTCATTAATAATAACGGGATGGAGTTCGAGCGACGCAAAGCGGCTTTAAGTGATGTTGAGAATTTATTTAATTTACGACTTTGATGAACTGTTAAATTAGTTTCGAGTTAATCTCGAAGAGAATATATACATAATGTACAGAATCTTAATAATTATTATTAATATTATTATACTCCGCGGTATAATAAACCTGCAAGTATATTAATTTTAGATTGTGAAGGAAACGAGGAATGTATTGGTTGTACAACGATTTTATTTATTTTTATCTGTGAAAAACTTTTCTACCAGAACTTTTGATTCGATTTTCAAGCGTTACATCTTTTCTAAAATAAAATTTTCCCAGGGTGATACTCTAAGGATGTAATTTTTCGATTTTTTCCCGAGGTTTTCATAATAAATGGGAAAAACCTAAAAATCGGGAAAAAAACAGGAAAATTTACGACATTCATTTATTCAAATCGTAAATATTACGGCCTTTCAAAACATATGTATAACCGAACTCCACTCGCAATCGTTTTTTATTAGCAATGATTAATCGTTGCATACAGACGCCCATTAAATTTCCCCTCTACCTTCCCTACTTCTCATCTATAACAGTAGCCCACCCGTCGTGTGAAATACGTCTGTCTTTTATTCAATCCACTTTTGACATTTCAAATACCGATTAATGTACTACTTATACGATCCGATGATTTTTTTTTTTTATTATTCATCTCAGCGGCCGCGTGGATCATTTCACTTGGTTTGTGGCCGCCGTGGATTTACCTGTGGCCGATCATCGAAGGTCGTCGAACCGTGCCCGAAAGACAATGTTATATACAGTTCATACTGACCAATCAGTACATTACTTTCGGCACGGCCATTGCCGCCTTTTACGTTCCGGTGACGGTGATGTGTTTTCTGTATTTCCGAATATATAGAGAGACGAAGAAGCGGCAAAAAGACTTACCGAATCTGCAAGCCGTAAACAAACCGCAAAAGTGAGAGAGTGAAAGATAAAAAAAAAAAAAAAAACCGTTAAATACGTACGTGTTGTAACAATATAAACAAAATTACTACGATTTCAGCGATCAACAACAGGATGAATCGTGGGGTCGTATACGGTCCGAGTCGAATCAAGTGAACTCTCTCGAACGACAGGAGCTGTACGAGACCAGTTCATTGCGCAAAGCGTACTCGCAGTGTTCATTGGTATTTATTAATCACCGTAAATAATAACAATAGTAATAAATTTAAGGTTTTTTTTTTTTTTTTTTTCCGATAAGTGCGTACCTGCTAATATCGTTACAATTATAAATATATACGCGTTATGCTAATTTATAAATTGGCACGCCATCAGCCTTTTATGTACTTTTAACGGCACACGGCCATAAAGAACGTTTCAAACGTTGTTCGCGTAACGCGATTCGATAGGTAAAAATGCGCATCATTTACGAACAAATAATAACGATATGAATAATAGTAACGAGGTAATCTTTTCTCTCGTGTTTTACCGCGCAGACACATAAACGGGACACATTGTTTTATGAATAATCGCCGACGAACCGTAATCCCTACGATTTAAGAAAAACCCGCTCGCGACTGTTCGATTTCGGTCGGGTTCGTCACATTATAAATTCCCCGCGTACGGCGAAACGTCCGATTACGTGGCCGGGCGCGGACGGTTTGTGTTCTTGTTGACTAATCGAATTCCAACAGTCGTCACAAGACGCGCGCATTATCCCCGCGGATTCACCCGGCTTATAGTTCGGGAACTCGAAACCGCGCGTTCCGCGTGCGGCTCGATAAATGCCGGCGCGTAAGCGTGGGCCCGGCAGGTCGTATTCTCGCCAGAGGACAATCTACACGGGCCGCGCAGAGAATAAACACAAGCGCAATATTGTGTTGGTTCCCGTACACCAACACTGTACAGTGTCGACGAAGGGTTCGCGAAACAAATGTGTGTAAAAAAAAAAAAAACAATACGATATTGCAGTGTACCGCGCGATATTATAAACGGCCGTCGTCTCGCCGATATTACTATTTACGTAAACAGCAGCATCACGCCCCCTGAGACTATTGCCCGACACACTTGATCCGCAGTATTTGATATTACGTTCGCGCTGCCCGAAACGCCCGTCTAAACTGCGCGGCCACCGCGGTCTTGTTTTAGAAAGCGAGGCGCTTGCTGACGTGGTCGTGGTTGCGCGATTGGTGCGTAGATTGGTGGCACTCTGGTCGGGACGACGATTACGACGAGGAAGACGACCAGACGCCCAGCGACGTGCCGGGCGGTACGAGCGACGGCACGTCCGTCTCCAGGTGGACGTCTCTGAACGTTATACATCAGCAGCCCACGACGCCGACCCCGATGAAAACTTATCACGGCGTCCACAACAACAACAATCGGCTGGCCAACCGGTCATTATCAAACGATTCGGTGAGTGTGCCGCGGTCGTAATATAACAATATCGTTTCTATTGTCATCGCGATCGTACGTATAGTCGAAAATAAGTAGTGTATCATTTTTTAGTAGTAACAGGGGACAAGGAGATATTGTGACGGTGGAAAATTCCGACGGCTATTCGATTGCTCCTCCGAATGTAATTGATAAATAAATGAATAATAATCGATTGCAATCGATTTTATCGGCCGGTAAACACACGATGTATATCATATTATAATGGAGGTTTTTTTTTTTTTTTTTTTCATGTTACGGCGTAGGTGTACACGATCGTGATAAAGTTGCCGAGCGACATTGAACAAGATGTGCCGACGGTGAGACAGTATCACGGGTGTTACGAGGATTCACGACTGGTGCACGGGCCGTCGTCATCAACGGGAACGCTGTCGCGGCGGCCGTCGTCGCAAGACATGCGGCTTCCTTTGAACGCAGCGAAAATCGTGCAGTCCAATAAGCCGCTGACCCGGGCTCAGGGGGCGGCGTTACAGGCCAAGGAGAAGAAAAAGAAAAAATTCCAAGAGAAGAAAAGCGAACGGAAGGCGGCGAAAACGCTGTCGGCGATACTATTGACGTTCATCATCACGTGGACGCCGTACAACATACTGGTGTTGCTGAAACCTTTCACCGCGGACACGGGTAATGGCACGGATTTCGGCGGAACGGACAACAAGGAATGGGTGACGCAGGGCATGTGGGATTTTTTCTACTACCTGTGCTACATCAACAGCACCATCAACCCGGTGTGTTACGCCCTGTGCAACGCCACGTTCCGCATGACGTACGTACGGATACTCAAGTGCAAGTGGAACACCCGGAGGCAACCACCGCACTTCCGCGCGTAGAACCTGACGCAGTGTGGTCGCAGCCGCGGCCGTCACACAGCAGAACGGTCGGGTCGCCGCAGCGTTTTTCGCATCGCGTCATCGTCGTAGTTCCGACTCGCGGCCACGCACGAACGTTCGACGACGGCGGCTGCGGAATCGAAAACTATGCTAATAAAATAATTATTAATAACACTATTTAATAACAAACAAATTATATTAAGAATTCAAAGACTGTTCGCGGAATCTACACGGTTCCCCAGGCACTAAGTGTAATGTATTAGATGTGTATATATGTATATATATAATATATATATATATATACTAAATATTACATATTATTTACCGGAATATAATATAGGTGTACTATATATTATGAGTAATACATATTATATACTATATATATATATATATATATATATGTGTGTGTGTATATATAAATACATTTTATTACGTATATATAACAATATTGTTAACATAATCGTATGGCATGTACGAGTTTGACGTGCGTACGTGAAGTCCGGTTCACACGAGGTCACATATTCGTTTTCATAATACTTGACGTACTTATTTAACTTGACCTTAACTCCCCGACCTCCGAACCCGATACACTGTACCGGGATAATCCGCAGTGTCCCAAGTGCAAAAAAAAAAAACGTAGTACTTTTTCTGAAAAGAGATTTTATTCGGGTGGTGCTTTCTGGAGAGTCGTTTTTTGATTTTCCAGGCGGTTTCCATAATAATCGTGAAAAAACTTAAAAAATAAACGGGAAAATTTACGTACACGTAGAAACGTCGTTCAGAATCGTTTTTTTATTAGCAATAATGGTTTATCAGATATAGATTAAAATTTCCCGACTTCTCATCTACAACAGTGGGCCGCCCGCATATGCCCGTATGGTCCGTTTGTTTTTTTCTTCAGCCGGGGTTCAAATGTTATATGTTTTAAATGTTGGCTTTGATGAGCGTGGCACATGCTAAACGCGATAGACTGAGACGGAGTGATGGACAATTTCCAGAAATGACTCTATATTGCATCGCCATTCAAGGATAACATTTGGGAGATATAATTTACAAAACCTAACTCGGGGAAAAAAAAAAACCTTTTTGTTATAATATGTGCTTCCGGTAAATATAATTTTTTTTTTTTTCTCTCATTTATATTACGCCAGACCCTGCAGTATTTCAAAAGGGTACGGTTAATAACAGTGGAATATTGCGCTTGGCGATTTCACGGCAACCGGCAGTATCCGCGTCAGAACCATTCCCAACATATTACATTCGACGGACGAACAATTACTAACCAATACCATTTACCCGTCGGCTGTCTAAATGCATTTTTGTTTTCACGCGATCTGTTAGAACAGTAAGCGCTAGATTGACAGATTACGTACGCGCATAGGAATATCGAAAAGACTGAATAAACACTAATTTACGAATAATCGAATAAAGACTTCCTCGTAATATCTTTAACATTACGAACTAGGTATTAATTTATCGTGTTGACCACGAACGCGCGCACGTAAATCGGGCTCAAACGTGTGAACCGGGTTTACGGGGGTGTCTGGTAAACGTACGACGGCGTCGGCGCGTGCCGGGCGGGGCATATTTTCTGCGTGCGAAAATGTCAGCTAAACGCAAATCATTACGATTCGCGTTTGACGTGCTACATATTATAAACGACGCAAGTAGTAGGTTATTTCTGTTCGTTAGGAAAAAAAAAAAAAAAAAAAAACGGTGTACGCTTTATATGCGAGGAATACCCGCACTGCCCGACACTAGCGCCACGGAATATGTGGGTGTCGGATCTACGCAATATGTATGAAAAAAGTTTCACACTTTTTTGTTAAAACGGACAAAGTTTATGGTATTATCATATTGTATGGCAATGGAGTATATTGTATTATTGTGTTGTACCTATGCGCGTAGTGTGACGCACGAGGACGCTGCCGCCTGAATAAATGACTTTTGTTCCGTTCGAAATGTTCGAGATTTTTTTTTTTTTTTTTCCTTTTCTTGTAATAATTTCCGGAGCTACAAAAACTGAAAATTCTGAAATTGTTTTTTCCACATTAATCCAATATCCAATGCTGTTTTTACACGCGCGTTTTCGACGAAATTTCAGCGTTACAAGTGTTTGCCAATGATTCGATTTTTTTTTTTTTTTAAAACCGATTGTAGTTGTTCACAAAAATTATTTTCCGACACCGGCGAACCGATCGACAGTATTCAGCGTAGTGCAAACGAAAGCGGTTTAAACTACCGGCAAAACCCCGACACATTATAGAGAATTACCGTTCCGGCATTAGCGTAAACGTTCGTAACATCGATACTTTTTGTTTCGATATTATACGCAACTGACGAAACGCGGAACACGTGTTTCTAATGTCCGTATCACAAGGCAATCATCGCCGGCAGTTATAATCGAGAGAGAGAGAGAGAAAAAAAAAAATTGCGACCGATAAAAATATTGAACGGAACAAAAGTCATTTCGGGCGTGCGGATCTCCGTGTTTACGCCCTGCGTAACACCGCGCGCGCGTGCAAACACGGCGTCGGGACGAATAACGATAACGATAACAAGACGTACGGCTGGTGATGATATTGGTAATCAACGGTCCGGCGGTATTTTTCACGAGTAATACGCACCTATAAACCGATAGGGACAGGAAGTTGTTACGCGCGTACCGTGTCCTCCGGATAAAACGTTATGTTTATTTCGAATCGTTGTGTTTGCGTAGGGATGACGAAGAAAAAAAAAATAAATATATATATATATATACGTGTATTGTATTGTATTGTATTGTATATTGTATGACCGCGGGAACCACGCGAATCTCCGGTACGACTGAATTACTCATAATAGGTTATAATTTTTACGTACTATTGTTTATAATACAACATCCGATTGTATTGTAATATATTGTTATTATTATTATTATTATTATTATTATTATTACAATTATTAATACGTTAAATCCGTTAACGGATCAATACGTTATCCGCCGGGATTCGACTAATTGATTTCAAAAAACAAGAATAAAAAATAAAAAAAAAACAACACGTAGCGACAATGCATACGTATGTATGTATTTTATACGCGCGCGACGAAACAATATTGTAATTTACCGGGAAAAAAAAAAAAAAAAAATGTATAATCAATAATTATATTGTCAATATTGCGCGTAGCGTCGTGCCCGACGTATTAACTATTATTATTATTATTATTATTATTATTATTGTGCGTAATGCGTAGACGTGTATAATCGTAATGTAACCAATTTATCGCACGAGTGTGTTTAGACGCGAGTAACATTGTAATATTACATAGTTTGTTACTATTATTTTTATTTTTTTTTTTTTTATTATTTTTTTTTTATTTTTTTTTTTTCTGTCTGTTTTCTACTTCTGAATAATCGCGATAATCGTTTCGACTCCAAGATATAATACTATAATAACATTACGCGCAACCGAGTGTTGCGTACACACTTTTGATTTCTACAATCTCTATAACTGGGCGGGGGG